GGGCTGAGAGGCCTTGGCCCTGGGTCCCCTCCACCCAGCTGTCTTCTCCATATCCCTGCATTAAGAGTCCTACCCTTGGGGTGCTGTAGGCCACCTCCACTTGGAGCCCAGCCTGCTCCAGAATCCTGACCTGGAGTACACCAATGTCCCCAGCCTGCCACATCCTGTCCACGGCCTCCCAGCCTTGAGGCCTCAAGAAGCCTGGCTCTCCCACTCAGACCCCATATCCCCGATCACTCCTCGGTTCTGGGTGATGGATCTGCCATCTGTATGAAGTCAACTCTTGTCACTGCCACAAGTTCCTTGCTATCTGGACCCCAGGAACCTCAGCTCTGAGTCCACTCAGGCCCCACACCATGACCATACATGTTCTCCCAGCCCACGACAGCCTCCCTCAGAAACTCTAGCCTCTGGTTGTACTGACCCCCAAAAGCTCTGATTCCCATTTTTTTCCTTACACCACGAAGACCCCTCCCTCCCTGAGGGCCCCACACTCTGGCCAGTCCTTGTCCAGGCCAGGAGTCCACATGCCCTCCTTCACCGTGCAGCCACTTCCCAGCCACCCCTTGAACCGCAGCCTCCCTGTATTTCCATCACCTCCCAACGAGGCTCATCTGTCCTCTGCTGAGGAGCTCCCAGGCGGGACAGCAGAGCAGCTGCCCTAACAGGGCTCCTGCTCCTGCTCAGACCCTGTGGACCTCCCCATGAAGGGACTTGCCTGAGGCTGCAAAAGAGCTTACTGGGGGGACTCTGACCACACCAGAGAAAAGCCTCGCCCAGCGCCCAGCATCCAGCCCCAGCTGCTCTCAACCAGCTCCCAGCAGCAGCCTCTTGTAAACGGCTAGCCACTGCCGGCCACCTGCATGACTCTGTGCCTCTGCATCCTGCACCAGCAAGGCCCACATACACCCTTCTGTCTCTCCAGGCGCCTCCTGTCACTACCTACCCCTGCCCGTGGACGTGCCCAGCTCTTTCCGACCTAGAGAGTAACAGGTGTGCCCAAGGCAAAGCCTCCCAAACACCCTCCTGACTTCTAGTTGATACTTTCGAGTGACTTCTCTCCTTCCACACAGCCATGCCAGCTCCCCCTTCAGCTCTCCCACCAGCTCCAAGATCAGCTCCCACCCCTCCCTGCCACCAGCTGGCTCTCCAAGGTCCTGTGGCCTCAGAAGCACTCCCCTCCCTCCCTTCCTCAGCCCACTAACCTGCTTCCCTGCCTTCCAGAAACCTCCCCCCATGCCTTCAGCCTTCAGTCTCCTGGGGAGATCTGGCTCAGAGTCTTGCACTGGCACCCCTGGACTCCACCCTCTCACCCAGACCCCAAACCCTGGCCACCTCATTTTGTTCCCGGCCTCTGCAGTCATCCACTGTTACCTCTCATATTGAAGACAGCTCAGCATCCCCCAGACACGGAAGCTTTCTCTGACTGCCTGGGCCGGTTAGGTGACCCTTACCATACCCCTACACCAGGTCCTTCCCCCACAAAGGGCCCATCACAGTGTGGGGACTGTGCTGACTGCTCTGGCTATGGCTGACTGAATGACCAAAAAGAGGTGGCATCTGGCCTCAGCCCCTCCCTCCCAGGAGTGGTGGCAGCTGGGGCTGGCCTGGGCTCACCCGTTCTTCTTGGGCAAATAGGCCTCCATGTCAAAGAAGAGGCCCTGGCGCTCCTTCATCTGGTTCTCCAGCTCCTGTGCAGCCCCCACGGCCTCTGACGGAAGGGTGGGTTTGCATCTGCAGGTGGAGCCAGAGTCAGCAGGGGCAAGCAGGCGCCATGCCCACCCCAGAGGGGCAGAAGGGGCAGTGAGGCCCAGAGAGGGGAGAGACTGTGCTGTCCCCTGGGGGGCAGCACCAGCCCCCCATGCCTCGCTGGCAGGTGCCCACCTCTTCAGGACGAGGGCCAGTTCCTGTAGCCGCTTCTTCTGCCGGGCGATGGAGCTGGTGCAGTTGTTCTGCAGCTTGGTCAGCTCCTCCAGCTTCAGGCGGTACAGCCGGTGAGTCTCCTGGGGCCAAAGGGACAAGGTGCAGGCTGGCTGGGACACATGGGCTCACTGTCTCCGCCAGGGATCCGCCTGTGCCTTCCCAAGGCACTCCCCCCTCAAGGTTTTCCTGGTCGCAGGACATCTTCCTATGGTCCCCACCTCTCCACAGGCTCTCTGTCCTGAGTCTGGTTTCTAAGGTCACAGGTCCACCTTCTGGACCAAGTGGGTGGCTTCAGGCCCTTTCAGTCCCTCCTGCCTACCCAACTTGCAAGGATGGGAAGTATGCGTGTGTTGGGCAGGGGTGGGGGGGACAGTGGTCAGGCATCCACAGTGCCTTCTGCTAGGGCATTCTGGATGCTTTCTCCCAGGTTAAAGGTCATCAGGCTTCAGTCTTGCACCTCCTGCCCTGAGGCCAGTCCCCTCCCCTGCCCCAGCACCTTTGGCCTGAGGCTTCCCTTAGCACTTTGCCCTGGTGGGTGAATCTCAAGAAGGCGCAGTCTAGAGATTGGGCAAGAGGCAGTGTGGGGACAGCAAGTGGCTGAGGTCATCGGAGGCAGCCAGGCTGGGAGATGCCTGCTCAGGACTCCAGGGAGAACACTGGTGGCAGCTGGCGGGGCTGCTCTGGGGGCAGCCATGGAGAAGGGAAAAGGCGGGAATCAGGCCAGGAGAGGCAAAAGTCTAACCAAGTCTCCAACTGGCCTGGGCTCCACTCGGTCTGTGGGCCACCACACCCCCCTCAGACCCAGATCTGTGCCACCTCTGCCCAGGCACAGTCACCACCCTCTCCTTCCTGGTCAAAGCCAGCAACCTCCTGCTGCCTGGGTCCCAGGACAGACGGCCACATACAAACTCCAACCAGACAACTGCTCCTGCAGCTTCCCAGTGGCTTCAGAGATTCTAATCCCCGCCAGAGCCAGGAGGTCCCTGCACGATCTGGTCCCACCCACTGCTCCCCTCACTTTCCCAAGCAGCCACACAGGCCCACAGGGCCTGTCAGCACTGCTCTCCCTTCCCCTGTTAGATGCTGGCCCACCTGGGACAGCCCCCCGACCCTGGCCACGGACTTCACCTAAACACCACTCCCCCAGGGCACTCTGACAGGAGATGCTAAGGGTGGGAACGGGATGTTCGTGGAGTGACAGATCCAGAATACGGGCTGGCTGGCTCCGACTCGGGCAGCTGCTCTCCTGGGAGAGGATGGGGTCCAGGTCCAAATGCAAAGGGCGGGGGCGGACACGGGGTCCCGTCTCTTTCCATGCCCTCGCGGGAGGTCGAAGTCACCCAGCACAGTGGGGTCCCGGCCAAAGCACAGTGGACTGTAACCGGACACTTGGGAGGGGCCAGCTGGGGAGACTGGGACCCGAGGCCTCGCCACCCTCGGGAGCAACTCCAGGCTCCAGACCCCCGACCTCAATCGCCTGCCTGCCTGACCCAGTGCTGCCCGACCCTTGACCTCAGCCAGAGAGACGTGGCTCAGAGTCAATGGGTGGCAGGAGTGGAGCCTACCTGGATGCTCTGGAAGTCCTGCTGCAGATCTTCCCAGTCCCGCAGGCAGTCGCCCAGCGGGTCCGAGGGCGGGGGCTGCATGGCTGCCGCTCCGCGGGCCGCAGGAGCAGCGAGTTGAGGACTGCGCCGCAACCCCGGCCGGCCCAAGGCGCCTCCGCCTCCGCCCCCGTCCGCTTCCGGGCTCGCGCCGCCACCGCCACCAATGGAGAAAGACCTGGCGCGGGCCGCGCGCTGGCCCCGCCCCCAACAGCCAATTACGATCAGGGGCGGGGCCACGCACTGGAAGGGCGTCTCATACCACGACTCTAGGCCAGCTTGGTGGCTAAGGTGGCTGCGGCCCCTGGCCGGGCTTCCACCTGCCGTGCCAACTGCATGCCGTGGTGCTTCCTGCAGTGCCCCAGCCCGCGGTGCTGGGAGCAAACCAAGACCCAGAGAGGTGACACCGACCTTAAACACTTTTCGTCTTTGGGAAACGGCGCCTCTTAGTGGAAGGGATTCCCAGAGTCTTCTCTTGCTAGGATTTTTTGTCACCTCCTTTCTGCCTCCAGGCTCACCTCCACTGCCCTTCACATAGCCACTAGCTGCCCTTCCTAAAGCACAAGCCTAATTCCCCCACCCTGTCCCTGCCTCGCAGGAGGTCCCTTGCCAGACAGCAAGCTCTGCGACCATCCCAGGCTTAGTCCACCCCAGACTGACAGAGGGTGCTGCCTGAAAAGCTCTCCCCCCTCTGGCAAAGCCCACTCCTCCTTGAAGGCACCTCCCTCATCCCGGCACCTCCAGCCCACTCTGGAGAGTCCTAGGAGGCTGTGGGCGTGTTTGCTGAATGAACTTAGGGAAGCCCCTGCATTGATGGGCATCCTGAATGCCCCACCCGTCCCCTGGTCCCCTGTACGTGCCCTTTCCTAATCCTCAGGTTGTTCTGTGGTTGCTGCCAGCAAGTGCATGGGGAAAACACCTCCCTTTAAGATCTGAGGAATTTCTAGGAACTTGGGTGCAGGGGCTGGGAGGGGTAGAAGTCTTTCCAGAGAACAGCAATGAGTGGGGGTGGGAACAGAGAAAGGCCATTAGTGCCAAGAGATAGACAGGGGTTGGGAGGGTCACAGCACTGGGCCTGGGCACGAGGCAAAGGGCCAAGGCTAGGCCTGGCATCTCTGGGGATGGGAGAATCCCCACCTATTTTCTTTTTTGTTGTTGTTGTTGCTGGGGGTTGAACCCAGGCCCTTGTGCATGCGAGGCAAGCCCTCTACCAGCTGAGCTCTACCCCAGCCCAAATCCCCATCAGTGGCTGGCTATTGTGACACCCTGTGGACCAACACCGAGCACCTCCCAGGAAAGCTCTGAAGGATCCAAGTCACAGGGTGTGTATGGCAGCCCCTTAGGTGGCCAGAGGAAACTCTAGGAGGGCAGCGGAGTGTTCCAAGGCACCCAGGGATACGGGCTGTCCTAAGCTGAGCAGATGCACCTCCACAGTGAGTGAACAGGAGCCTGAAAGAACCAGTGCACAAGTCCGAGTGAGGCTGCAGGCAGCACAGGCCTTTTCTTTCCACACCAACCTGGGTACACATGCTTGCCCTCTGCCCACAAAGGTCCCAAGGAAGGTTCTTCAGCGCCCATCTCTGGGCCTCAGAGATTAGTACGGTGGATTGAAGATGTCTGTGACAGTGTCTCCAAGGACAATCTTCTCCCACTCCGACAGCTGAGTCACCAATCCCCAATTTGGACGCATGTTATTTTTGCACTTCTTGACATAGGCCCAGGACCTCTGAACAGAGAGAAAGGAGACGTCAGGACTGGTCATGGGCCCTGGATCAGAGATAGGAAGCACTTGCCCAGGGGCACACAACATGGTTTAAGAGCTAGATACCGCAGCAGCCTGTGATGGCTCGGTAGGGCAAGCAGTGGAGGGAGCTGGCCGCACCTTGGGCAAGCCTCTTGGCACTTCTGAATAGAGGGACAAATCATTCCTTTTTCAGATAGCTGCTGTGAATGCTAGGACAACACATGGGAACCTTCCACCAAGTAGGGTGAACACAACACACCCAAGCCTGGGGCAGAAAGGCTCAACAAAGGTTTGCATTGTCACTGGATGGGTTCCTGGAAAGGGGAGGAGGACGGGGTCAAATTCTCTGAAGAAGGAAGATTAAAGTTGCCTTCCTTTAGGGTTAGAAAGAAGGCGTGGAGCTGGTCTCCATCCGGATTGAGGACAGGGGAAAAGCAAAGGGGGAAATGGTGAAACTAAGAAGAAGACTGCTTAAACCTAATAAAGACCATTTATGAAAATCGCCCTTGCTAACATCGCACTCAATGGAGAAAGGTTCTCCCGAGAGGAGCACTTAGAGGAACAAGGCACAGGGCCACTTTCACCCCTTCTGTTAGAACTGCAGGGAGCTGTCAGAGCAATTAGGCAAGAAAGAAAAGACACCCAAATTGGAAAGAAAAAAAAGATTATCTCCATTGTTGAGGGCCACAGCTGAGTCTGGATGAGCATGGCATATTGCCAGAGGGAATGGTTGAGAGATGACACTAGGGAGCCATGAGATGAGGATGGTTATGTTAAGCTGTGTATTCAATTGTATATTTGACCTTTACTGTCCAGAGGCTCTTGCTGCCTCAGGCTGCTACTTTGGAGTTCCCGTGGAGTTCTCACAGTTCCGAGGGAGAGTGCACGAGGACCCCAGTGGAGGGTGAGAGTGTTCCCGGGGAGCATGTGTGGAGTGCTGGTGGAGTTCGGCAATAAAGAGTTGCTGTTTACCTACAAGTGCTTTGTGGCAGCTCAGTTATTTGTGCCCAGCCAGACTGCGGCATGCCATGTGAAGATGACATTAATCTCATGTAGAAATTTCTAAAATCTTACACATCCAGAGCAAATGCATCCAGAGAAGTTGCAGGATACCAAAATTAGCACATCAGTTTGTTAAATTTCTACAAACCAACAATGAACAATTCAAAAAAAATTAAGAAAACAATTCCATTTACAATAGCATCAAAAAGACTAAAACATTTAACCAAAGAGGTGAGAGACATACCAAAAACTACAAAAAGCATTGTAGAAGGAAATTGAAGATGATACAATTAAATGGCAACATATCCAATGTTATAGAAAACTTACTGTGGTCCAGATGTCCATACTGCCTAAATAATCCACAGATATAAGAATCCTTATTAAATCCCAATGGCATATTTTGTAGAAATAGAAAATTTTTATTATTATTATTATTTAATATTTATTTTTTAGTTTTCGGCAGACACAGCATCTTTGTTTGTATGTGGTGCCGAGGATCGAACCCGGGCCGCACGCATGCCAGGCGAGTGCGCTACCGCTTGAGCTACATCCCCAGCCCAGAAATAGAAAAATTTTAAAATTCCCCAAATTAAAAAAAAAAAAAAAACTTGTACAAAGAACCCAGTGTCCCATACATGCTAGGCAAGTGCTCAACACTGGGTTCAATCCTCAGTACCACATAAAAATGAATAAAATAAAGGTACTGTGTCTATTTACAACTAAAAATACTATTTTAAAAAGACACCTTTCAATTGTGGTAAATTATACAGAACTTAAAGTTCACCATTTTAACCACCTTTAGGGCTATACAGTTCCATGGCGCTAAGTATGTTCATATTACTGTGCAACTGTCACCCGCTCCATCTCCAGAACATCTTCATTTTCCCAAACTGATCCTCTGACCCCATTAAACATTGACTCCCCATCCCACTTGTTCCCTGGGTACATCCGTGTCAACTGCTATTCACCTGTCTGATTTTGATACTCTAGGTACCACACACCAGGGGGAATCCTAGGTACTAGTCCTTTAATGACCGGCCTGCCTTATGGAGCAGTGTCCTCCAGGCCCACCCATACTGTGGCACACAGCAGAATTCCCTTCCTTTGCAGGGCTGACTCTTTCCTATATGGAGATGTCACATTTTGTGTTTCCTTTTATTTGTCCACAGACATTTGTGTCATTTCCACCTTTCAGCTATTGTGAACAGTCCTGCCGTGAACGTGGGTGTGCACATGTATGAGTCCCTGTCTTCTGCTCTCTGATGTACATGCCTTGAAGTGGACTTACCGGAAAGCCAAGGCATTCTAGGCTGCAACTTCCTGAAGAGCACGTTGGGTCAATACCCAAAACCATGGTTATTCTTTACCCCTGCCCTTCCCCCAAACACACACGGGGAGTTTTCAGCTCCCACACAAACCCTCTGAGACCATGGACAGGCAAGGATCCCCTCCCCAGGGCAGGCCCCCAAGCGAGCCCTACCTGGGAGTCAGATGCCCGAATCTCCGTGGGTCTGCCTTAACAGTGCCCTCCTCCCTTCCCACTCTGGTGAGGAAGATTGACATGGGTGCCCACTGAGGCCTGGCCAGTGCTGCAATTCTGTGACTCCACTCATTTTTCTTTGAACAAACCCAAACCAACCTCGGGGACAGACAGGCAGCAGGGGAGCCACAGAGCTGGTGCTGCCTCTCAGCCTGGCCTGTGTCCTGTTAGTGCTGTATACCAGGCTTTGGCCTGCAGCGTTGGGACCCACCCTTGGGTGCCACTTGCTGGGAAACACCCTGATTTGGAGTTCCCCTCCTGATTCTCCCCCTCCCCATCCCACAATTGGGGAACCACAGTAGTGCCAGGCCCTATTTCTCCCAGGTTTGGCCCTGACTCTACACCTAGGGTGGTTGTGGCCCAAGCCCGCCTCAAGGAACACATACCTGCAAGGTCTCCTCTCTCCAGTGCATGAGGAAGGCCACAATTACCGCACAACTGCGACTGATGCCCCGGGTAGAAAAGACCAGAACAACAGAGCCAAGCTCCAGGTGAATTTCTGCAGAAGGAAGGAAGGAAGAGGTGGGTTTGTGCAGAGCCCTCTTCCCCATGGACCTGGAACCTGGGTGGCTATCAGAGATTGGCCTCGCTGTGCCCATAGTTCAAGCATGAGTATGGAACAGTATGTCAAGCCTGGGCAAGTCTCACAACTTCCCCAACACAGCTTGTCTAGCAAACGGGGGGCCCTCAGACCTAGCTGGCCATTCAAGAGCTAACTGGCACTGCCAGGTGAAACCTTTTCCTGGCTCTCCAGGTTTCTAGCCCAGGAAGCTGTTGCCAGTTGGCCTAATGCTGATAGGACGATGCCCCAAGGACACTCAGGTGCCAGCTAGGCAATGCAGGGGGTGTGAATCCTGGCTCTGTCACTCACTGTTCTGTGGGGCTTGGGCAAGTTACTCTGAGCCACAGTTTCCTTATCTGGAAAATGGGGTTTTATTCTGCCCTATGCTGAGCACCAGATGTGGCGGCACACACCTGCAATCCCAGCCATCTGGGAGGCTGAGACCCATTGCCTGGCATAGAAAAGCCAGCTACAGTCACATAACCCCAAGGCTGGGAGTCCTGCCCAGGGAGTGGGGGAGTTTAAACTGTCATTGCAGGCTGGCCTGGAAACCCCAAGAACTAAAGATGAGCACACCACGTGCAAAGCCAGGCTGTCAGAGCTGGAGGAGAACTTTGGGATGATGAAGGCCGACTGCCTATTCACATACATGAGACTGAGCCATGCATCAGTGACAGGCTGGCCCAGAGCCACCCAGCAGGGTGGGTCTCTCTGTGCTGCAGACTCTGCCACCTCATGGTGGGATACACAGGAAGTCTCAGTCTCGGATCCTAGCTGAGTGAAAGTGGCAATCTGCTGGGCTAATAATAGGCACTTGGGCTCCATTGTCAGCCCCAATTGCTCAGGCTGGGGGCTGTGTGGTGCCAGCAGGCACTTCAGGGAGGGCCTCTGCCCTGATCCAGCCTTGCTCTCCAGGGACCTTGCTTTCCTCAGACAGTCCTATGCCCTGGGAACGACCACACAATCCACCCTGGATGATTTAAGCAGCTGGTGGGTGTTGCTTTGTGTGTGGCAGGAGGACAACAGGTGGCAGGGAGCCCACATGGAGCAACGCAGCAATCAGGGTTGGGAGGTTCCGAGTGTTCCTCCCTCCATCCACATCCTGCTGGCCAGACCTGAGGGTGCAGATAAAGCACCCTCAGGTCTGAAGATGCACTTCTAGGTCCTCCACAGACACGATCACATGTGGTGGCCAGCACCCATACTTTCAAATAGCCTCAAAGGGCTATGGCAGCCTCACCAGGGCTGCTCAACCTGCAACCTAGTACTCCCACTGGAGCCCACTGCTCCCAAGGGAAACACCACCCCCACTCATCTAACGGGAATCCTGAGAAGCTGGACTCATCCTGGGTTGTCCACATTTGGCTAGGCATGTGCTGGCCCCTACCTCCTCTGTCTTCAGCATGGGGAGTCAAGATCAGGGATAAGCATGTGGAAGAGGTACTGTAGTCCCTCTGCCTCCCAGGCTAATTGCTCCCTGGTTAGGGAAGGCTCTTACCAAGGAAGTGACAGAGGTGACGTAAAAAGGGAATAATCTTGACGTCTGGGGTATCTTCTATCTGGATGTGCAGAAGGTTGTCAGAGTCACCTGCAAAACTAAACAAAGAATACAGGTCACCAGCACATAGCCCACTGAGGCTTCCCCTCATCTTCAGTAGCGGGTCCACAGGGGAAGGATGCCAGGAAGTAGGAATGGAAATAGTGGCATCATTGTCTTGTTCAGAAGCTGAGAGAAAACTTTCAACATTTCACCAGTAAGTGTGATGGTTACTTACAGATCTTTTTTTTTCCAGTGCTGGAATCAAATCCAGGGCTTTGTCTACACTAGGCAAATGCTCTGCTACTGGGCTACACTGGCACCCCAGGCCTGCTGCAGAGACTTTTGTATATTTTTAAAAAAATTAAATCAAGAAAGTTCCATTCTATTCCTGGTTTTCCAAGATTTTTTTTTTTTTTAATTATGAGTGGGACACAGTGGTGAACACCTATAAGCTCAGCATTCTGAAGTATCACAGGTTCAAGGCCAGTCTCAGCAGTTAAAAGCAACTGAGCAAGACCCTCTCTCAAAATTTAAAAAAAATTGAAATTAAAAGGGCTGGGAATGTAGCTCAGTGATAAAGTGCCCCTGAGTTCAATCCCCAATACTGAAAAGAAAAGTTACAAATCCATAGTGAAGCTGGGTGTGGTGGCACTTGTCTATAATCCCAGTGGCTCAGCTCCAGAGGCTGAGGCAGGATTACAAATTCAAGGCCAGACTTGGCCATTTACAAGACCCTGAGCAACTTAGCAAGACTCTGTCTCAAAACTTAAAAAGGACTGGGGATGTGCCTCAGTGGTAAAGCACCCCTGGGTTCATTTCCCAGTACTGAAAAGAAAAATTAAGAATATACTGGGCTGGGGATATGGCTCAAGCGGTAGCGTGCTTGCCTGGCATGCGTGTGGCCCGGGTTCGATCCTCAGCACCACATACAAACAAAGATGTTGTGTCCGCTGAGAACTAAAAAATAAATATTAAAAAAATTCTCTCTCTCTTTGAAAAAAAAAAAAGAATATAGTGAGGGCTGGATTTGTGGCTCAGAGGTAGAACGCTCGCCTAGCATGCGTGAGGCACTGAGTTTGATCCTCAGCACTACATAAAGTTTTTTTTTTAAAAAAGGAATATATAGTGAATCTTACCAAATGCTTTATCTGTACCTATTGAAATAATTGTTTTTTTTTCTCTATGTTAATGATTTGGTAAGCTGTGAATTCTCCAGAAGTTAAAGCAACTTCATATCATTGGAATAGACCCAACTTCCTCACCATGTATTATCCTTTCATATCTCACCATATTCAGTGTGCTAATATTTTATTTAGAATTTTTACAACTATATTCACAAGGAAAATTAGTCTATAATTTTCCTGCATTATAGCATCTTAGGTTATGAAGTTAAAATTATGCTGGTCTCATAAAATAAGTTGATAGTTGTTCTTTTTATTCTCTAAAAAGGAAAAAAAAACTTAATATTGACCTAATTTCCTCCTTAAATATTAAATAAAATTAAATCACTGAAACTATTTAAACCTGGAATTCTGTCTGTGGAAATGTTCACTAGTTCTTTATACTACTCAAATTTTGTTTGATGTCAGTTTTGACAGGGAGTATCTAAAATTTGTTCATCTATGTTTACCATAATAAAGTTTCCGTAGCATCTCTTACAATCTTTTAGAGTAGGTACAGGACATGGGTTCTCTCTTGCCATCTGGTTATTGGTGCCTTTGCTCTCTTTGCCAAGTGTTTATTGATTTTATTAAAAAAAAAAAAAAACTATTTGGCCTTCTTGATCCTCTTTTATTGTTGCTATTTCAATAATCTGCTTTTATTATCCCTTTGTCATTTGGGTCTAATTTCCTGTTCCTCTCTTAAGATAAATGCTTAACTCATTGATTTCTAGCCTTTTCCCTTTGTAATAAGTGTATTCATTCCTAGCTGTACATTTCCCTCTAATCACAGCTTAGCTACACTCCACAAATTGATACATAGTATTTTCATTATCGTGTATTTGAAAATATTTCCTAATTTCCATTGTGAGTTCTTTGCTTCATTGGCTGTTTAGAAATTTATTTATAGATTTCTAGGGATTTTCTAATTACATTTTTAAATTAATCATCTATCTCAATCCCTCAGTGGTTGAAAGAAAGCTAATATAATTTTAGTCTCCTGAAAACTGTTGATTATTTTATGAACCACATATTACTGATTTTTATATTTTATACATATATATTTAAATACACACTTATACATATATATGGATTCAGCAACTACAGAGTGCAACTTTTCTCCACTTTGCCGCAGTCTGGCCGGGCACAAAATCACGAGCCACTCACAGCCTTGTAGATTCAAACAGCAATTCTTTATTCCCGAACTCACTCCGGCACTCTACAAACAGGTTCTGGGCAAATCCACATTCTGGGCAAAATCCACACTCTCCACCGGGCTTTGAATCCCCTCAATGGGAACTCAAGGAGCGGGCGTGCCTGAGGCAGCAGGATACGCCCTATTCCCAGCAGGGTACACCTTAAACTTGGATCCACCCTGGTCATTGAGCAAGGTCACTTTACATGCAATGTCACTTCAAATGACCTGGGTCAATATGGAGAGTCCTTCCTCTAAGCAACATTGGGTAGGCTGACAAAGAAATTGCCATGTGTCATTCCTACTTGGCAATGGCTCTCAGCACCACTTGAAGATGTTTCCTTTCCCAGTCTGTTAATATGGTGCATTACCTTTGGTTTTCAATGTTAAACCAACCTTGCATTCCTGGAACAAACACAATTGGTCATGAGATATTATCATTTTTAGATATTTTAGAATCCAATTTACAAAAATTTTGTTAAGAATTGTTGTGCCTATATTCATAGGGATATTGGTCTGTAGTTTCCCTTCTTGTAAAGTCTTTGTAGGTTTGAGTTTCAAATAATGATGTATCTCATAAATGAATTAGAGTTCTCTCATCTTTATTTTCTTTTGGTATTGGGAATTGAACCCATGTGACTTAACCATGTGGCTCCATCCCCCACACTTTTTAATATTTTTTTAAAGACAGGGTCTCCCTAAGTTTCTTAGGGCCTGCCTAAGTTACTGAGGCTGGCTTTAGTCTCACAATCTTCCTGCCTCAGCCTCCCAAACTGCTGGGATTACAGGCATGTACCACCACACCCAGCACATCTTTATTTTCTTAAAGAGTTTTTGTGAAATTATTATTTCACCAATAAAGGCATATGGGCCTAGACGTTTTCTTTGTACAAAGGTTTTAAACTGTGAATTAAATTTCTCTAATAGAGGGATATTCTAATTATCTATTTCTTTCTTTCTTTTTTTTATGGTGCTGGGGATTGAACCCAGGGCCTGGTGCATATGAGGCAAGCATTCTACCAACTGAGCTATATCCCCAGCCCTGATTATCTATTATCTAACTGAGCTTGACTCTTTCAAGGAATTTGTTCATTTACTCTATATTTTCAAATTTATTGGCATAAAGTTGCTCATTTTCTAAATTTTTTAATATATATTTTTAGTTGTAGGTAGACACAATACCTTTTTTATTTTTATATGGTGCCGAGGATCTAACCCAGTGTTTCATGCATGCTAGGCAAGCAATCTACCACTGAGCCACAACCCCAGTCCTTCTAAATATTTTTAATTAAAAACTTTGAGATAATTGTAGATTCATATGCAGTCTTAAGAAATAATAGAGAGCCCTGTACACTTCACCTAGTTTCCCCAGCAGTAACATTTTGCAAGACTATAATATAATATCACAAGCAGGATACTACGCTGATATAACCTGTCAATCTTATTCAGCTTTCTACAGCTTTTTACTTGCATCCATGCAGGTGTATGTCTGTCTGTAGTTCACTCTATTTATAAAGTTATTGCTCACGTAGGTTCCTGAATCTCCAATAGGTCAAGAAATACCAAGGATCCCTTTTATTGCCCTCTGATAACCAACATGCTAGAGCCCTTTCCCAAGTCCTGCCAACCACTAATCTATCCTCTATTTCTAAAATTTTGTTCTATTAAAAATGCTATATATTGGGCTGGGGATGTGGCTCAAGCGGTAGCGCGCTCGCCTGGCGTGCGTGCGGCCCGGGTTCGATCCTCAGCACCACATACAAACAAAGATGTTGTGTCTGCCGAAAACTAAAAAATAAATATTAAAAAATTATAAAAAAAATTAAAAAAAAAAAAAGCTATATAAATAGAATATTGTAAGTAACTTTTCAGATTTGGTGTTTTGTTTTGTGTTCAGCATCAGTTCCATAGAGATCCAAGCAGGAAATCCAAGTTGTGGCATGTATCAGCAGGAGTCTTCCATGGTATGTACCCACCACAGCTTTTCAAACTACTTAGCTGGACAATTTTTGTGAATATAGATGCACAGCTTTTGGTATAAATGTAAGTTTTCCTTTCTCTGGGATAAGTGCCTAAGAATACTTTTTGATATTGGTAGGATCTATAATGATGGTCTCTTTTAACTCAATAATGTTATTTTTGTCTTCTGTCTACTCCAATCAGTTTCATAGGATATACCAATTCTATTGATTTTTCAGAGAACTTTTTTTTGAGAAAAAACTTTTGGCTTCATTAATTTTCCTATTTGTTATGTTTTCTTTTTCATTTGTTTCTATTCTTTATTATTTCATTCCCCCTGCTTACTTTTTAAAAATTTTAAGGTGGAAGTTCCTTGATTTGAGGTTCTTTTTTTCTAACATAGGCATTTAGGTTGTAAATTCTCCTCTAACATTGCTTTAGCTGCATGCACAATATTTGACATGTGTTGTTTATATTTTCATTCGGTTCAAAATAATTTCTAATTTTCCCCTTAATTTCTTTTGACACATATGCTACTTAAAAGTGTGTTATTTCATTTCCACGTGTTTGGGATTTTCCCCAGATACCTGTGTTATTGATTTCTAATTTAATTCCATTAGGGTCATAGAACATAATTTTTAAAACTTTAATCCTTTTAGGTTTAATAATGTTTGTATTGTGGTCCAGAACAGGGTATCCTGACAAAAAATATTCCATGTTCTTATTGAGAAGATATTCAACAGTAAGAAGATATTCAACAAACAGTGTGTGTCTTATATAAATGGTACATCTGTGGTTTTCAATCTGTGCTAGACTTCAAAACTATGATCTCCTGTTATTGTATGCAGCCTTGAACTCCACTTCTCCAGGAGTTCTTAGTGATTAAATAGGTGATAAATATAAGCAAAATTCAAGGCAATTTAGTACTGATTTTAAAAGATTACTTTTGTCTGGAGGTGAGCTGCACTAAAACTTTACAACAAAATGTCTGAAGAAACAAAAGGACATTAATTCATCTGCATCTTACTGTTGGTAAGCCTAGAAGTAAAGAAACATTGGTAAATTGCTCTGACCCTGATGAGTTGTTAAACTGAGATTATTGTTTATGCATGCAGATATTAACTGGAAGTTATATATGCATAAATCTTTTCTTCCTGGATTTGGCAGCTATGTATAATTATATTAAAATGGTTCTAGCATAAAAAAGATATTCAAAGACTAGAAGAACATTACTAATTTTGTGTGAAACATCTTACAATTGTCAATTAAGTAAAGTTGGACAATTACATTCTTCTAGTCTTTGAAATTATAACCTATCTTCCATTTACTTGTTGTAGCAATTATTGATATGCTGAGATTTCTGATTATAATGGTGGATTGTTGTATTTCTTTCAGTTTTTTAACTTGGGATTGAACTCAGGAGGACTCTGCCACTGAGCTACAACCCCAGCCATTTAAAAAAAATTTTTTTTTTCATTTTAAGACAGAGTTTTAAAATTTTGTTTAGATCCTAAGTTGCTGAGGCTGGCCTCAAACTTGCAATCCTTCTACCTTCTGAGTCACTGGTATCACAGGTGTGCACCACTGCATTCAGCTCCTTCCAAAACATTTTAATAGTTTTAATTTCATGTACTTTGAACTCCTTTATTTTATGTTATTTTTAAAGTAGGATCTATAATGGATCTATAGGGATCAAATAAACTCCTTCATTAGGTACATACATGTTTAAGAATATTTTTTCCCTGGGCTGGGATTGTGGCTCAGCGGTAGTGTGCTCGCCTAGCATGGGCTGGACCCAGGTTCAATCCTCAGCACCATATAAAAAATAAATAAATAGATAAAAGGCATTGTGTTGTGTCCATCTACACCTAAAAAGTAAGTATTTTTTTTAAAAGAATATTTTTTCTCTAGAATCTAGAGTCTAGATTAATTGACCACTTTCTCATAATGAAATGACTCCCCTCATCTCTGGGTAGTATACTTTGCTGTGAAGTCTGAATTTTCTGATAATAATATAGCAACTAGAGTTTTTTAAAATTTATCTCAGTCTAGAATATCTTGTTACATCCTTTTACTTTATATTTGAAGTACATTTTTTAGGCAATCTATAATCTCTGCCTTTTGACTGGAATCTTTAGACTAAATGTTGATATGAGTTTAAATCTATCATTTGATATTTGTTTTCTATTGATCTCATCTCTTCTTTATTCCCATTTTCCTCTTTTTCTGTCTTCTTCTGGGTTATTATGATTCTATTTTTCCTTTATTATTTCATTCATTATATTTTTTTTTTTGCAGTTGCTTTAGAGTTTATAGAACACATCATTAACTGATTATTGAGGAGATTTTTAAACAAGAGGGAAAGTATCTTATATTTATCTACATAATTATCACTTCTGGTGGTCTTTGTTCTTTTTATAGAGATTCAGATTTCCATCTGGTATCATTTTCTTTCTGCTCAAAAGATTTCCTTTAACTTTTTTTTTTTAAAGAGAGAGAGAGAGAGGGGGGGGGGGAGAGAATTTCAATATTTATTTTTCAGTTTTCAGCAGACACAACATCTTTGTTTGTATGTGGTGCTGAGGATTGAACCGGGCCACAAGCATACCAGGAGAGCGCGCTACCACTTGAGCCACATCCCCAGCCCTTCCTTTAACTTTTTTGTAGTGCAAGTTTGTTGTTGATGAATTCATTCAGCTTTTGTATGCCTGAGAAACTGTCCTGTGTTGTTAGTTAGCCATTGTCCAAAAAACCCTGTTCTATACGTTTTATTTCAGTTATTTAAGGTGGGGGAGTAAATTTGGTCCTTGTTACTTCATCTGGTTAGAAATGGAAAGTAGTCTCATTTATATTCTTGAAGAATATATCATATAGATATCCAACTTTGAGTTGGCATTATAAAGATCTCAGCCAAAAAGCAAATTAGGAAATAACTTGCTTTTTGGCTCAGATCTTTTTGAATTTTTAGATGAATTCATAGGCAGTTGACATCACCCATGACATTAGGTTTCTTATCCAACAGTCTTTCCCATCATCGATGCCCTCTTTTTTCTACATCCTTTAGTTTCCTTAGCCAGGCATGGTGATGCATACCTGTAATCCTAGCAACAGCAGAGGCAGGAGAATCGCAAGTTCAAGGCCAGAGCCAGGAACTTAGACTCTGTCTCGAAAACAAACAAACAAATTTAAAAGGCTGGGGATGGCTGGATGTGCATGCTTATAATTCCAGCAGTTCAGGAGGCTGAAGCAGGAGGCTCACGAGTTCAAAGCCAGCCTCAGCAAAAGTGAGACACTAAGCAACTCAGTGAGACCCTGTCTCTAAATAAAATACAAAATAGGGCTGGGGATGTGGCTCAGTAGTCAAGTGCCCCTGGGCTCAACCCTCAGTGTCACACACACACAAAAAAAAATTGTCTTATTTACATAGGCCCTGCATATTTCTTAAATTTATTTCTAGGAATCTTATAACTTTTAGTTTTTTTTTTCCAGAGAGAGAGAGAGAGAGAATTTTTTAATATTTATTTTTTTTAGTTTTCAGCGGACATAACATCTTTGTTTGTATGTGGTGCTGAGGATCGAACCCGGGCCGCACACATGCCAGGCGAGCGCACTACCACTTGAGCCACATCCCCAGCCCCATAACTTTTAGTTTTTATTGTAAAGATGGATCTTTCATCTTTCATTATGTTTCTACATTCATAAGTTGAATTGATCGATTTTATATGACATTTTTAAATATTTATTTTTTAGTTATAGGTGGACACAATATCTTTATTTTATATTTATGTGGAGCTGAGGATTGAACCCAGTGCCTCACGCATGTTAGGCGAGAGCTCTATCTCTGAGCCACAACCCTAGCCCCTTTATATGACATTTTTGTTATCAGATGCCTTGCTGAATTCTTGTATTATTTCCATTTTGATCAGGAGCTGAAAGCAGAGAATTCTAGGTCTTGGTGACCAGGACCAGACACTGTCAGAAAACAGAGGCTGGCCAGCAGGGCTAGTGAGGGCTTTCCTGCACAGTGAACAAGGATGAGCCTGCATGGGCATGTGTGTCCTGGTACCAAATGCCAAAGCACAGAGGCATTTCTCACAGGTTCCTGAGACAGGCCAAGCAGAGTAGACCAAGATGCTTCATAACACCATGTTAAAGACCTGGAAAGCACCACTCATGGTGAGGTTCACAGGACGAGTGTGAGGACTCAGGGGGCAGAGGATGCCAAAGCCACACGAGGCACGGGCGAAGGCCATGCTAACTCTGCTCCAGTTTGTGTTGGCTGCTAAGAGCCCTTTCAACTCTACAAATGCATGGCACTAGGAAATGTGTATAAATAAATGATATCCTTAAAAAAAGTGTCTCATTTACTTACAAGGGTCCCATCTCCATGGAGACATTGATATGTGCTTTGATTTTCAAATCCTTCTGCACTTGAGGGTCACAGGCTTGACTGAAATTTCCCAGAAAGACCTTTCCAGGAATTATTTCAACAGGATACGGCTGAAATGCATCTAGTTCCTGGAGTTGGGAAAGAGAAGGACTGCTGTGAGCATGGGCCCTCTGGAAGGGAGCTTTTCATCTCTTGAAATCTCTTCAGCAGACAGTGGATGATACTGAGATCTGGACTTTCATAAAGACTGGCAAATAGCAGCTCACATGAGGAGAGAGAGGGCTGTCCCATCAGGACTGGCTACAGCATCACAATGCCATGCTAGCTCTCAGCACCGACTCCATTGCCCTCCCTGGCAACCATTTGCACCTGGTCACATGCAAAAAGGCTGGAGTTGAGGACCTTGTGGTGCAGAACTTCCACAACCCAGAATGTGTCCAATTGGGGGTGGGGTGGGGAGGAACAGAACTTTTATTACAATGGGGACATCAGAATTTAAACACCTTAAAGACACACTCAATAAAACTCTCCACATTGTGCCTATCTGCCATTAGAAAATGTGTTCTGATGAAGGAGGCGAATGGTCAGTGGGGCAGAGAGGACAAGACAACCACTTAAATTCAGGGTCCATAAATGTGACAGAAAATTTGACTGCAGCAACATAAATAGAACAGAGGATATTATGTTAAGTGAAATAAGCCAGGCACAGAACAGTGAGGTCCACATAGTCTCAATCCCAGGTGGACTCTGAAGAAGCTGATCTCAGAGGTGAAGAGTAAAATGGCAGTTATGGGGTTGGTGGGGGATGGGGGTGTGGGGGAGGGGGGAGGGGCAGGTGGGCAAAACTGATCCATGTGCACTAGTTACAGCTGAACAGGAGCAAAGGGTCCTGGGGTGCCTCTGTACAGTGGTTGACTACCTAACTATAACGTGCTGTATATTTCAAAAACCTAGGAAGAGTTGGATGTTTTTTGCCACAAGAAATGAAAAATATTCAAGGAGAAAGATGTTTTATTATAATTAAATATTATATAATGCATATATTGTATATCAAAATATCACCTAGTATGCTTTTTTAAATTTTATGTATCAATTAGAAACACACAATTTAAAAAATAATTTGGTTTCTTTGAATCACTAAGAAACAGAGGATTATTTCTATGTTTCCCAAAGAGAGTTCTAAGAAGCACCGTCCCTCACAGTGCATCATGAAGGAAGGGTACAAAGAACCGAGTGTGCCCGCAGCTGTGCCTGCTGGTCCTCTCTAGGAAACTTGGTGTCCACCAGCAATGGCCAGCTAGAAGAGGCCCTACACAAGGAAACCTGCCCTCACTGCCACCAAGCTCCCCACATGCTCTGACTTGCGCCACTTCCCCGTCATACCTCCAAGGGAGACCCTGGCCTGTGTGATTGGCGGTCAAAATCTCTTCCATAGTCCTTTGGTACCAAATCAGAATCAGAAGTAACAACTTAAATACCTCGGGCTACGTAGGACAGATACTATATAATCCTGACTTCCAGTACTAATACTGACCCAAATTAAATGAAAGGGGTACCTGTAAAATTATAGATATTGAAGTTATGACCTGTTACTCCCTCTTTAAGTCTGGTAAAACTGGCTTGCTGGATGTTTAAAACCAAAACCTTGGAGACCAAAGGCAAGGAAGTAAAAGGGCCAAGGAAAAAGTAGCCAATATTTTGGACCTTGCCCTCTAAGGTCAGCCAGGACGTGGAGAATGATGTGACCCCTCTTTGGAACATGTAACTCTGGTGACCTGGAGATAGAGAGGACCCTATAGAACAGGAAGCCAACCAGTGCACATTCTGCAAAGAAGAGGGTCATTGGAGATGGAAATGTCCCTGATGCTTCCAAGATAAGCCATATATGGTCAGACAGACCCCAACCCATCCTGGCAATTGGCACCAATGGTAGAGGAAAGCTAACAGAGCCAAGAGCCTTCACATATGTCCCCAGGAGTGATCCCTGAGGAATCTCAGCTGACTCTTAAGAGTAGATAGGAACAGGGTCAGTTTTGGCCAACTTGGTCTTAAACACCTAGCAGGAGAGTATAGCCTAAAAGCACAGTCCTACCTGGACACTTAAACGTAAAAACAATGGTTTTAAAAATGTAACATAAGGGCTGGGGTTGTGGCTCAGTGGTAGAGCACTTGTCTTGCATGTGCGAGGCACTGGGTTCAAGCCTCAGCACCACATAAAGATAAATAAATAAAGGCATTATCCATCCACAACTAAAAAATGAAAAAATATGTATATATTTTAAAAAATGTAACATAAGATGTATATTTGTGTCAACCCTTCCAAAAGTAAGTACAGCTGGAGGCTATAAAGGAAGGATTCTTGTGTGAGAGTGAATAATAGTAATGATCGTAAGAGTCCCAAATTTGTCCTGAGTTAATTTGAGTCTGATTTCAAAAACCTACAAATCTTCCTGACATCCGTTGATGAACTAATCCATTTTTCACTGATAGTTTATGAATTACAGTCCTCATGGTTTTCAGAGACTGGATGAAATACTAATTGCTTTTGTTCTAATTATTTACAAAAAGTAATGAATTCTTTGCTCTTTATTGTTGTCTTGGCAAGATCCCTGCCTTATGTATACCTTGTCCAGTCACCTGCCAACTGCCACTGTGGACCTCTGGACTGCTCTGATGTTGAATGCCCTAACTGTCCACCCCCTACACCTGACAGAGAATAAGAACTTTGGGTTACTTTCCCCAACTTTGCCCCTGTTCAGCAGTAAATAGCTTGAAGATGTTGTCACCTGCTTTCCATAGAAATGGAAGCTAGAAATTGACAGTGGGGAAATGTAACAAGGGTTCACTTGATACTGTGACCATATCCTTTGTGGCTTTGAAATTTACATATTTTTTTCTTTTCCCTTACCTTCTCCTTCCTGACCTTCTCTTCCCTGATCTTCTTTTTTGTTTTTTGTTTTTAGTTATACATGGACACAATGTCTTTATTTTGTTTATTTATTTTTATGTGCTGCTGAGGATTGAACCCAGTGCATCACATGTGGGAGGCAAGTGCTCTGCCACTGAGCCACAAGCCCAACCCCTTCCTGTTCTTATTTTCCCTAACTTTCTCCTTCCTGATCTTCTCCCTGATCTCTCCTCCCTAAACTCATTTTCTCTGAATCACCTCTTTAAAAGCCCTCTGTTCCTACTGATGGGCAGAATCACAGTCTTTGGGACAGGAGTCCCCTGTGTTTCTCCTTTGCTAGCAAAGCAATAAACCTTCTTTTTCCTTTTTCTCAAAATTAAAAAAAAAAAAAAAAAACCTCAGTCTACCTCCCTGTCAGCACCAGTCCCTCCCACCCCAGGTGAAGCCACTACAAGCCACGCCCCAGAGCCCTGCTGACTCCACCCAGGGTACCTGGCTCACTGGAGCCCTGTGACATTCCTATAATCCCACTAGAGAACAAACTGCCTCAGCACCCACCACCTGCCTCATAACTCTCCTGCTTCCTGCAAACCAGCCTCCCTTTCTGTGGTTACCTGACTTGAGCTGGGAAGAGGGTGTGGCACAGATAGAAACATTTCATCTTCTCAAAGCATGCACATTAATACCAGGTAATAAAACAGAAAAGATATCTCCACCGAGCAGTCTGAATGGAGGCTGCTGTCTGCCCCACAAATTGTCCCCCAGGGGCTCCCCACTGCTATGAACCACACTATGGCCCACCTGTCACCCACATGAACACCAGGGCCTTCCTCCTGTCTCCAGACTCCCCCATGTCCTCTAGTTGAGCAATGCTGCTTCCTAAATGTCCTCAGACTGTCTTTCTCCCCTGCCTCTCATCAGGGCTCCCCAAATCTACTCTGGCCCACTGATCTGCTTCCTAATGAGCTTCCCAAAGTATAACGTGACCATGCCAACCTTCTGCTTGGCACTGCTCAGTGGTGGGTCCTCATCTGCCTCTAGCAATGAACTGCTGAAATCTGTCAGTCCCTGAGCACCTCTGCTCAGAGGGAGCTCTTACTGAAGGAAGGTCACCTACCAGCACAGGGAAGTCACTATAAGCTGCTCCATCTAAAGTGGAAGGCAATCTCAGAGCCTTAATACTTGGCCACCACCTTCCCTCAGAGAAGCAGCTCCTAGGGGAGCATGGAGACACTCCCACCTATGGTAAAGAACATGTAGCAAGTAGAACCTTCACCTTTGTTCCTAAATTGGTGGCAAAGGTCCTATGACAGGGAGAGGCAAATGCTAGGCAACCCCATTCTAAAGAGCCACAACCAAGCAGGGTTACTACTTGCCCACCCAGCCCTCGTAGCTTCCACAAGCCCCTCCCCTCCAAATCTAGGAAAGTCACTGCACACACGTATTAAAACCAACCATACTTCATTTTAAACGTGCCATTCATCGCATGTCAGCTACACCTCACTAGAGCTGTCAGTAAAGTATGTGGGGCGAGTTATTAGCAGCAGAAGCTCAGAGAAGACACCAATCTCTCCACACCCTGAAAAGCCAGCAAAGGGAGGCCCCCAGGAACAGGGAGCCGCACTTGGTGGGCACTTGCTGAGCCCAAATCCTAGGTGCCGTTACCTCAGAGGAGGAGAGAGGATGTCGGGAAAGCTTGTGTACACACCCTGGGTTTGAAAACAGGTCTGACCATAGACTGCTGTCCTGCCTTGTCACACAAGCCCACTGAGCAGCAGAGTGGCAGGGCAGGGAGGGTTGTGAAGGTCTGCAGGGCCCCTTTCCCCACTAGCACACTCCCCTGTGGATCAGGCCAGGATTTAGGGGAAGAAGATGGACATGGTGGAGGTCAGGGCTGCTCAGTGATGGAAGAGAATTTGAGAGGGAACCCTGGCAGAGGGTAAAAGGGTCACAGCTGGCTCGCTGGTAGATCCTCAGCAACAGAAGAGGCAAGGGTAAGGCTGTATGAGGCCCCAAGAAACCCAGCAACAGAGGCCATGAGCAGCGCCCAGAATCAGACTGGATCAGAGTGAGAACGGGCCCATTCACCAGCTGCCAGACACAGAGGATGAACTCCATGCTGTCACCAATGGCCTCTTCCTTTCCTGGACACCGATAAAGTCACGATCATGACCTGGATGCCACCAGTTCATTTCCCCAGCCTGTTCTCCTCCATCTCCTTCCATCCCCTGTTCCCGTCTCTTGTTCCTCCTCCCCTGCCTTCCACCCCTTAGTCCCCAGCCATGCTTCCTGGCCAAGCTAGCCTCTGTTCAGCCCTCTGCCTCACCTGGGGCATCCAGATGATCTTCTGGGTCCTAAAGAAGTGGTACAGGCCTGAGAAGCGCTGGTAGCCCCCTTTCAGGATATGCACAGGATTGCGGGTGAAGTTGCTCAGCCATTTGCCACACTCCACAGCAGGTCCGAGCGCCAGTTCTAAGAATGGACACCAAAGAGGTGACTGTCCTGTGTTGTGCTCACCATCTGTCTAGACAGCCACTCTGTCTTCTGAAAAGCAATTATTTAGGAAGCCGAAAAAGGATAAATGAGAGGAATGTAACAATTAAAATTTTAAAGGCAACTTACCATCAGGTGGATCTTCTGTAAGCTGTGTGTGTATATATATACACACAACATATGTGCGCCACATGTTGTATACCAAACAATTCACCCATTTAAAGCATATGATTCAGTGATTTTTTGTATAGTCAGTTGTGTAACTATTATCACAATCAATTTTAGCAAATTTTCATCATCCCTAAAAGAAACCCTGTATCAGTCACTTTCTTGTTACCCCCAAACTTGCAGCTTTGATTACTCCAAGCTCTATTTATCTAATTTTTCCACATATCATGTATTCTGGACATTTCATATAAACGGAAGCATGTCATTCACATGATGTGTGTCTGTTTTCTACACTTGCTATAGTCTCTTCAGCATTCATCTCTTGCAGATGTATCAATACTTCAGTCCTTTCAATGGCTAACATTCATTGCACCACATGGATTTACCACATTGGTTTTATCCTCTCATCTGAGGATGCATGTGTTATTCCCTCCTTGGGCTACTGTGAATGATGCTGTGTGAGCTCATGCACAAGTTCTCATGCAGACACCATGTCTTTGGAGTATCTATCTTAACCCTTTGAGGAAACATCCAACTTTTTTCTGAAGCAACTTCACCATCTCACACTCTGGCAGGCAATGCCTGAGGACTCCTTTCTCTACGTTCTTGTCACATGGCCATTCTGGTGTATGAAATGAAATTTCACAGTGGTTTTGACATCAATTTAACCTTAACACCTTCGCTGATCTGCAGGATAGACTGTATGCAAATCAGATATATGGGACTGGAATTCTGCATAATTAAGGCTAAGCCAGAATACTTGGATCCAGGAACAGACCCAGAAAGAGTAATGTTGGCTAGCAGACCCAGAAAGAGTAATGTTGGCTAGCAGGCTTGGGACAGCCATCCAGAAGGAGTTGGGTATGAACTCTGACTTCTATGCTAAACTTTAGATCTGGGAGACAAGGACACTTCCAGCAGGGACTGCTCAGGACATAGTGGCCTGGGACCTGTCTGGAGGAACTACATTTGGAGGACAAGTCTGGAGTCTGTAACCAGGCTGGGACATAACCTGCAGTTGTCCAGACATGGGCCAAAGCCTCCCATGGGGTCTGATTCAGAAGTCAGAGTCCAACCAATGGGTCATGTGATGCCCGTCATGACTCTCCTGAGCCACAAATGGTGGCGGGTCAGAAGGCCCCAGGGAGCTGTAGAGTTTCTCAGGATGCATGACTCTTACCTTTAGGTTGCTTCTCGAGACCCACTGGAGGCTTATTCAATTAGGGACAACAGGATCAGCACCAGAGGAAGGCCAGTTCCCAGGGGATAGTCAGGGATGCTAACAGAGCCTAGGCTACCTTTCCAATAGCCAGAAAAGGTCAGGCTCCACTTGCTCAGAAGTGGGGGGGGGTACCTCCATAATAGCCTCAATCCATTACTGGGAAGTAGAGGTTTCCACTAGAAGGGGTGATGGAGTTAATATTTCTGCAATGTCAATTTCATTCATTTCTATTCCCATTGATCATGAATTCTCCATTGGCATTAGTTTCTTCCTCTCTGAACTGGGGCACTCGCTGCTTCCAAAGGAGAAGGAACATACTCAGATAAAGGTCCCTGATTACAGGGGCAGCTTTGAGTTGAATTCCTTGGGTTCCTTAGCCAGCCAATAGTCATGAAAGCCAGGCTTTGCTGAGAGAGGTAAAGGAAGCCCCAAAGCTTTCTTCCTGTGTCAAGGAGCACACTTGCAATCTATAACCCCACTGTTGCAAGGAAGGACAATTCAACATGAGAGAAATCTTTCCTCCAAGATGGGGAAGCCCTCTGAGTGCAGAAGCCAAGACCAGTTTCTATGAAGACACTGACTGGGGGGAAACCCACAGGCAGGGCGCCCACATTCGCGCTGGAAACAGCTTGGCCCATTTCCCCCTGGGAACTCGGTGGTCCCCAGCAGAGGTGGTGGGTGGTGGAACCAACACTGAAGGCCAAGGAGAGATGCAGCAAGGCCCAGGGGATCTGCAGCCTGGGTGGGGAGCCTGAGCAGAGGGCCCAAGGTGGGGGTCCCCAGGAGCAACTGGTGCATACTGCCAGGTACAGAGGCTGCTCAAGACGTCCATCAGTCACGGGCATCACAGCTCTGGGCACAGTGAGGAAGAGCCCCATGGCCACAGGCCCACATGGCCAGCAGGAAAGGACTGCACTGTGATCTCACATACCTGCTGCTGGGATGTGAGGAAGAGCCCCTGTGCTCAGGTTTCCCTGGGGACTGAGGAGATAGGTACTTAACAACAGAGAGAAGTGGGGTGGCGAGAGGAACCCTGAAATGACCTTATATCCAAAAGACTTAGCACTTACATGCAAGATGCCATTTTAAGTGAGCAAAGTTGTGTAAGGGGAGAGTTGTATGTGCAGCTGTGGCTTCCTACCAAGGGGCATGGGAACCCATGGCACAGTGCACTCAGCTGCAGGGTGGAAGCGGGGTTATCTTTACTGCCCATTTCCTAGGGCTTCAGGATCCAGCATGTAATCCCATAATACCAGAACTGTACACTAGAGTCCAGTGGGGCAGGCATGGGGAAGCAGGGACCTACCATGGCCAAAGAGCCCTTAGGAAGAAAGCCTGAAAGGCTGGCTTTCCTGAAGGTGGGAGCTTAGCTCCACCCAGTGGCAGTCCTGGGAGTGCCCTGGAACTATACCCACCCACATCAGCTATTGAGTCAGAGGAAGCAGATCTCTTGGTGCCAGGGGATGGCCAGGGGCTGAAAAGAGAACAGTGGAGCTTCAGAATTTCAACTGAGAATCTTGGAACTGACCCTCCAGCCCTAAGCCATGTTCTTCTCCAACACAACCATCCAGTTTGAGACAGGATAGTCTCAAACTGCCTAGGCTTGAACTGTGACCCTACCACTTAGGAGCTGTGATAGTTTGGAAATCTGTCCACAGAGTCTTTTAAACACCTCTTTAAAATGTCAAGCCTATTGGAATGGTAGTCACCAGGAATACAAACAATGATAAATGCCGAGAGGAAACGGAGAAAAAGGAACACTTTCACACTGTGATGTGATTGTAAGTTAGTACTGGCACTGTGGAAATCAGTATGGAGGCTCCTCAAAAGACTAGGAATGGACCATCCTATGACTCAGCTATACCACTCCTCAGTATTTATCCTAGAGAATTAAAATTATCATACTATAGTGATACATGCAGACCCATGTTTATAGCAGCACAATTCATAATAGCCAAACTATGGAACCAGCCTGGGTGTCCATCAATGAATGAGGAAAATGTGGTAAATACACACAATGCAGTTTTATTTTGCCATAAAGAATGGAATTCAGAAAAATGGATGGAACTTGAGAGTATTTTGTTAAATGAAACAAGCCACACTCAAAGATAAGGATCATATATTTTTCTCATATGTGGAAGCTAAGGAGGAAAAAGAAAAAGAGGTGCGTGGGAGTCTCATTAAAATTGAAGGAAGATCATTAGAATAGAAGAAAGGGAGGGAAGAGGGAAGAGAAAGGGAAAATACTGTGGAGTGACACTGGCCAAATTACATGTATGAATATGTAACAAATCCCACCATTATGGGCAACTATAATACACCAATAACAAATACGTCAAAAGAAATAAATAAAAAGGTCAAGACTACCTGCTTGTCCCTTGAGTGCAGGCTGGACTTCATGACCTACTTCTAGTGACTGGAACATGGCAGAGGTAACTGAGTCCTGAGACCAGGTCATAAAAGGCACATGGTTACCCCTTCTAACCCCCTCTCTCAGACCCCTCACTCTGGGGGAAACCCATTGCCGTGTTGCGAGCCACTCAAGCAATCCCAAGGAAAGGTTCTGTGCCAAGGAGCTGAGGCCTTCTGGCTACTGCCATGGCTAATGAGTCATTTTGGATGCCAATCATCCTGGCCCAAACCTTCCAAGGACAGCAGCCCACAAGAAACCCTGTGCCTTCCAGCTGAGTGGTCCCTGAATTCTGGACCCACCGAAAGAGGAAGATAATTAAGGTTTGCTGTTTTCAGTGACTCGGTTTGGAGAAATGAGCTCCATAGCAATAGATCCTAACTCACCAGGATCTTGGGTGAGTTACTTCACCTTTCTGGGCCAGTTTCAACCCTCTTTAAAATGGGAGTGATGTACCTGCTAGGAGACAGTTCTCCATTCAGTGTTCTGTGAACAGGGACATTGGCTGCTTTTGTTCTGGGCTATCTCTTCAGGAGACATTTGCGTAACAGCTTTGGAAGACAGGACATTCTTTCTTCCCTCAGGCCCCCTAAGCTTAGGACTCTTCTATAAGGCAACCCATTGTAGTTCTAAGTGTCACTTGGCCCTCTTCACCTAACCCTGTGGGGACTGGGGCTTAGAGAACCAGTACAGGACAATGCTGACATTCTGGGTCCTTGTGTTGTTCTGAATAACCCAGTCCTGTATCTGACCCAGGAGTCTCAGGTCTCTGATAGTGTACATGCAACTGCTGCAGGTGACTTATCTTGTATGGAGGGTAAAGTCTCACACGTCTCATGGCTCTTAGCATTACCATTCTCACAAGGAGGCTCTGCAGACTTCACAAATTAGCCCAGGTGAAGCACCTGGCATCATGGCTCCTGGCACATAGTAAGTAGTAACTTTTTTCTGGTACTAGGAATTGAATCCAAGGGCACTTAGCCACTGAGCCACATCTCCAGCCCCTTTTTAAACTTTATTTAGAGACAGGATCTTGCTGGGCCTCGCTGAGTTGCTGAGGCTGTTTGAACTCAATCCTCCTGAGCTGCTGGGATTATAGTCCTGTCCCCGCCAGCTGCTGGGATTATAGCCTGTCCCCACCAGGCTCCTTACCTATCGTTTTGCCACTGCTGGAAAAACCCACCTGGGCCAGAATTGTCAAAGTCATTATCATCCTCGTTTTCATTGTAGACTAAGGTCATCTCCAGGGTGCTGGTGTTGCTGTCATACACCACACAGTATCTCACACACTCCAGGTCTACGGACTCAGGGATGAGGTAGTCTTTATCCTTCTAAGGAAAACACAGAGGTGAGGTGGTGGGCAGCTTGGTTGAACATGGATTTCCTACATGTCAGCCCCAGAAGGAGCTGGAAGCAAAGATTATACCCCAACCCCCTACGCCTTCTGGAAACAGACACTTTGAAATTAAAAGTGACTTCCTGATAACTACTTTTCTGCATCCTATACTTCCTCTGGCTGAGAGCTACTAGCTACTAAATCTGCAAATGTATATTTTCTGACTTTGTCCCAAGTGCCTCCTCTTCCCTTATAAATCTTTCCCTGACCCTGTGCGTGAAGATGCAGATTTGAGACTAAGTTCTCTTCTATCTTCCTTAAGTTTCACTGACTTTGAATAAACCTAGTTTCCTCACCAAACAACCAGTCTCTGACTTTCTAGGTGGTGGTATTTGTTTATAGTGGTGGTTTAACTCATGGACACTCTACCACAGAGCTACACTCCCCAGGCCTTTTAATTTTTGAAACGGTCTTGCTTAGTGGCCCAGGCTGGCCTCCAACTTGCAATCCTCTTGCCTTAGCCTCTCAGTTGCTGGGTTTACAATTGTGCACCACTGTATCCAGCTGTCTCTCTAGTTTTTAGTGGAATGACCAGTGGTAAAGCCTTTCCCCCATGTTTCAAGAGGAGTGGAGATGTGCTGACTTCCAAGAATCTTCCATACCCACATCCCCTTCTAAGAAGGGCCAGCTTCAGTGGGCCAGACCAGAGGCAAGTACTCAACTAAAGACTGGCTGGTCTATTGAAGGGCTCACAGCCTATCAGGTCCTGGATTTGGAGTAACCATGACCAGCTGAATTAGTGACATTCTCTCTCGTACAGAGAGTGGTTGGCAGTAGGCCCCAATCCAAAACCACTCCTAAAGTGGCAGTCAGGAGGTCAGTGGAGTGGAAGTCATGAGCAAGCGGATGCCACAAGGAGGGCTGCCTGGTCAGGTATAAGTTCTGGGGGAGCAGGGATCTGGGTCCTTGTTAGGTGTCCTGAGCATCTACAATAGTGTCTGTACCTGGTAGGCCATAAATGTGCTTAAATTAATGGATGGCAAACAGAAGCCAGAAGAGGTAGGGATGGTGGAATAACCGTAATGCAGATCACAGGGCAAGGAACAGCAGATGCTGACTGCTAAGAGGATGATGCCAACTAGGGAGGAGACAGTGTCACCTAGGAGGGGATGAGGTCACCTAGGGAGGAGATGTAATCTCACAGCACTAGAAGGCTCAGAACCTACAAGATGTTCCAGAGCTTGAGGAGGCCTGCCTGTGACAGGGACAGGCATGAGCAGTAGGAACATGAGATGACGAGGATAATTCTGAAGAAGGGCTCACTGTGCTGACCCCCACATGCTTTCTTTTCTAAGAAGTAATTCACCTGCATCCCTGCCTGGCTTACATAGACAGGATATGTTACATTCCTTAGCAAACTACCTGTTATCTGCAGGAAAATGAGAGTCCAAAATAATATTGATAAGAGGAACCCAAGTTTCCCTGAAGGGGAACCCAAATTTCCCTGAAGGAGGAGACCCTTACAGAGACCAGATCCTGGAATTTACGGAGGTAAGGATAATTCCCCCTAACCATAAAATCTGTAAGAACAGATTCCAATTAGAACCAGTCAGCATGGGCCAAAGAGACCTAGAGTGGTCATGTCAGTGGGAACTTGAAAGTTTGATATCATCCTGTCAGTTACCAGACAAGAGGTGGACCTGGGTAGGACTCTCTGGAAACTTCTCTGGGATCCCAAATAAAACTAGAGTGAACCCTGTTCCATGAGAGCATCTACTTTTCCCCTTCCCATTCCTGCTAATAAACTCATTGACTATTACTCTGAGCAACATGTCTGAAATCTTTCTGACTTGATGACAGGAATCAGCATTGAAGGGGGGTCTTGGTGCTACCTGTTTCCTGGGAGGCCCAATTCTCCAACAGCTGGAGAAGAGCTGAGTCTGGTCCTCACTTGCTGACAGTATCACATGAGCCCTGTGACTCAGGGCAGCCTGAACCTGATTCTGGCCTCTGCAACCTAGCCTGAGGTAGAACCCCAGACCAGCAGAAGACCTGAAGGAGGGATTTAATAGGTTTCTCTGCAACACAAATGGGAGAAATCCTGTTTCTCTAAAGGAATCAGAAGTATGTTCAGGAAGGGGCCCAATAGATGTCACTCAGAGGAGAAAATGTAGACACAGGTTGAGGGTGGGCTTCTAGAGACAGAAGAACCTGGCAAGGGAAAAGATGTGAGCAGCCCCCGGAGGCTGGGATGCAGAGAGTTGGCATGTTGCCAGAGACCAGGGAACACAGATAGGAGTGCTGAGCTGGGAAATGAGACCCATACATGACAGAGAGGCTCAGAATAGGTTATACAAAAAGCAGAGAAAGACTTGAAAAAGGCCGCTGGAGTAGAGAGCCAGAGAACTGAAACTCCAGGGAGAAAATAAGCAGAAAATGACGCACAGGGATAGGGAAGAAGGAGGGCAGCAGACAGTAGCTTATTCCCAGAAAAATACTCATGCCAAGGCCCATGCTCCATGCTGATCTATATGTTGAAAAAGAGCCAGAGATGAAATGCATATGGCACTCTGGCAGTAGGGCAGGACAGGAGGGAATTTTGCAAGACACAATTTTAGAAGTAAACTCCTCAGGACCCTAACTGGATATGGAGGGTTGAAGCTGTAAGCCTGAGTGAAGGAAAGCATCCTGACAGGCATGAAAGAGACCAGGAAGATACCTTCAGGTAGCAGAAGGAAAGGATGTAGCTGAACCAGGGAAAGAAGAAACCAGAATGAGAGAGAACTTCAAAGTCAAGGGCAGAGGCTGTGACCAGGACTCAGAGGCTGGAGCGGATCTTCCAGGTATGGCCACGACTTAAGAGAGAGGACACCTGCAGGGGAGTGGAGAAGGCCTCAAAACAGGAGAGGACCACGGTGCCAGTAGCTGGGCTCAGTTGCTTGTGAGAATGTGGGAAGGAAAAAGAAGGGAAGGAGGGAAGGAGGAGCTTACACTTTTGGGTTAGTGTAATACCTCTATGGTTTTTTTTTTTTAATTAGTTATTGATGGACCTTTATTCATTTATTTATTTATATGTGGTGCTGAGAATCGAACCCAGTGCCTCACACATGCTAGGCAAGTGTGCCACCACTGAGCCACAACCCCAGCCCACCGCTATTGTTAATCATCTGCTCACTGCGTAGAACAGAAACTCTATGAGGGCGGGGACACTGAATCAAGAGTGTCTTATATTCTGGGGTACCTACTGCTTAGTGTCCCACAGGAGACCCTAGTGGACACAGGATGAAACCTCCCATTCCTTCCACCCTCACCAAGGTCACCAGCCTGCCCCAGATGCTGACTCAGGTGCGTACCTTCTTCACACGAAGGGCTGTGATCACATGACTCTCATCGTACTCCCTTTTGGAACGAACATCTGGAAAGAAAAGGGTTTAACTCAGAACCGGATTTACAGAGGAACACAGGACCAGACTATCTACAGTACATACTTTGTCATCAACATACTTTGGCAAGTCAGGTGATAGTTACTATCTGTTTAAAATCTGAGGTATATAGTTTCACTACTCTGGGCTGTCACCTCGTGACCCCCAGTCCTATTACATTCACACCCACACATCCCCTTATGGGACAATAAGACTTCCTATTTCTGATTTAGATGGAGTTTTCTCTGGGTCTAGAAAAGGAGGACTAGGAGCCAGGCACACAAGTTCAAGATCGGCCTGGGAAACTTGGTGAGACCTTGTCTCAAAGTAATTTGTGTATCTGTGTGGTACTCAAGATTTAACCCAGGTGTATTCCAACACTGAGCCACAACCCAGACCTTTTTATTTTTAACTTTGAAACAGGATCATTACAGGCACTTGCTACTACACTTGGAAAAATTCAAAACAACAGCAGCAACAAAAAATGAAAAGGGCAGGAGATGTAGCTTAACTTAGCTTGCTTAGCATGCATGAGGCCTGGGGTTCTATTCCCAGAAATGCAAAGGAAAAAAAAAAGGTAGCAGTAGGGGAGAAATCAAAGTGAAAGCGAGCTCACACTAAGTGCCCCACTGAGTTTAGACCCAAACTCAGGCTAGAACCTATGAGTTGAGGCCCTTATAATGCCATGTTAGGATATAAGGGGAGGTATTGATCTTCCTTATAGTTGGGAGGAACATGAAATAGGAATTGAGCCTTACATTAAAGACTTAAAAGATCTCTGTCTACAAGAAACTGAATCAGGTCTGTTTTGTGCATAGAAACTATGGCAAATGTGCCCATTTTGTTTCAGGCAAGTAATCCCTGGGGTCTAACTGTGGGAGAGACTTTTCATTTAGAATGAGCTGGTCCCGGGGCTGGGGCTGGGGCTCAGCGGTAGAGCACTTGCCTAGCACATGTGAGGCGCTGGGTTCGATCCTCAGCACCACATAAAAAAATAAATGTATAAATAAAATAAAGATATCATGTCCAACTATAACTAAAAAAATAATAATAAAAAAAAAGAATGAGCTGGTCCCAGTGGTGCAGGCCGGTAATCCCAAGATTTAGGAGGCTGAAGCAGAAGGATCACAAGTTCAAAGCCAGCCTCAGCAATTTAGCAAGGCCCCAAGCAATTTAGTAAGACCCTGTGTGAAAATAAAAATAAAGGACTGAGAATATAGCTCAGTGGTAAAGCACCCCTAGGTTCAATCCCAACCCCACCCCCCAAAAAAAAAACTGGTTCAAGACCATTGAAATTTCGAGGTCAGGAACAATCACAAAACCTTTCTGTGGGGTCACCTTCACAACTGCTATGGAAAGATGAATGAACAAAATTTTTTAAAAAACACATGGTTATGGAGAGAGAAAAACCTAGAAAGCCAACTCAATATGGAGGGAAAAGAACAAAGCCAGAGAACTGACATTATTCAACCTCTCTAGGCACTTACAGCTACATTGATCAAAGCAGTATGGTATTGGAAAAGAACAGAGAAATAGATCCATAGAACGGAACAGAATCCAGAAAGTGATCAACAGAACCTGTGAAGGAATGAAGGCAAGACATCAGAGACGATGGCATTTTCAACAAATAATGCTGGAATGATTGGACATTCATAAGCAAAAAAAAAAAAAAAATTAATCAAGATACAGACCTTACATTCTTCACTAAAACTAACTCAAGAGATCACAGACCCAAGTGTAAAATGAAAAGCAGTGAAACTCCTAGGAGATACCACAGCAGAATATCTAGATACGTTGGGGTCTGGTGATGACTTTTGGGATACAATACCAAAGCCTCAATCCACAAGAGAAATCGATGATGAGCTGGGCTTTGTTTAAATGTAAAACTTGAGCTCTGCAGAAGACACTGTCAAGAGAATGAGAAGGGTCTGGAGATGCAGCTCAGTGGCAGAGTGCTTGCCCAGCATGGGTAAGGCCCTGGGTTCCAACCCTGCATTACAGGAAAAAAAAAAAAAAAAAGAGGAGGAGGAGGTGAAGAAAGAGGAAGAAGGAGGAGGAGGAGGAGGAAGAGAAGAATGAAGATGGAGGAGGAGGAGTAAAAAGGAGGAGCAAAGAGGAGGAGGAAGAGGAAAAAGAGGAGAAGGAAGAGGTGGAGAAAGATGAATGAGGAGGAGGAGAAGGAAGAGAAAGAAAAGAAGACATAGTCTGGGAAGACATATTTGCAAAATACATACCTGATGCAGTACTATTTTCTTATGCACAAACCATTAAAATTCAACAGTGAGAAAATAACTAATTAAAAATGGACAAAAGATACGAACAGACTTCTCACCAAAGAAAACATACAGATGGCAAGCAAGCATATGAAAAAATGCTCAACATCTAACCTAATTAGGGAATTGCAAATTGAAATGATGGGAGCACTTACACCTATTGGGATGGCCCAAATCCAGAACACTGACAAATACCAAATGCTGGTGAGGATGTAGAACAGGAATTCTCACTCATTGCTGTTGGAAATGCAAAAATGATAAAGCCACTTTGTAAGAAATTTGGCAGTTTCTAGCAAGATTAAACAAGCTGTTTGCGGCAATTGTGTTCCTTGGTATTTGCCCAAATGGGTTGAAACCTTGTGTCTACACACAAACGTTCATAGCAGCTTTATTCACAATGGCACAAACTTGAAAACTACCAGAATGTCCTTTAGTAGGTGAGTGAACAAGCTGTGATATACTCTGAATATGGAATATTATTTAGCTCTAAGAAAGAGGCTATCAAACTATAAAAGGGCATGATTGCCAGGAGTTAAGAGGGAAGTAATAGAGATTGAACTCAGGGGTGCTTTGCCATTGGGCTTAAACTCAGCCCTTCTTATTTTTTTTAGGTTGAGACAGGGTCTCACTCAATTGCTGATGCTGGCCTGGAACTTGTGATCCTCCTTCCTCCACCTACCTCGTAGTGGGGATCACAGGCATGTACCACTTAGCAGCTTCTTGCTTTATTTTGATTCACATCACCACATCTGGCTGATGTGCTGCTGCATAAATTTTAGAAAATCCTAGGAAGTTAATATACTAAACCAAGAGACATTTCAGGCTGCTAACGTCTTTAACTGAAAGGCCATGATAGCATAATAGCACTGCTTTGTCCAGCTTTTCCTGTGTTTCACGTTAATTTTTAGTTCCTTATTAAGATTTGTCAACTGAGTCTACACTTAATGGCAAATTACTTGAAGAGTTTGCCTTCCTTAAAGTTTTAGCACTTAAAAATTATTTTAGAGATGAGAAGAGACATTTAACTTAAAGAAAAAAATATAAGAAAAAGTCTTATAAAATCCAGGTATCACTTCCTCAGTTTGAACCACTATCTCTTATTTGTGTATGTCAATCATCATGAAAGTGGTGATTTGAATGGGCTCTTTAAAAAATTAGTGCTTTAATTGCTTAAGATGTTGCATATCATGGGTTTTTTTGTTTGTTTTGCTTTGTGGTGCTGGGGATTGAACCTAGGACCTTAGTGCATGCAAGGCAAGCACTCTACCAGCTGAGCTATGTCCCCAGCCCATGTTATGTGGTTTGTTTGTTTTTTTTTTTTTTTAGAGAGAGAATTTTTTTTTTTAATATTTATTTTTTTAGTTCTCGGCGGACACAACATCCTTGTTTGTATGTGGTGCTGAGGATCGAACCCGGGCCGCACGCATGCCAGGCGAGCGCGCTAACGCTTGAGCCACATCCCCAGCCCCATGTTATGTGTTTTTAATCTATGCAGTTCAGTATTTCTAGAATGGTGTTTGTGTCCAACAGTTAAAACTTGACAGATACATATGAATTTTTATTTTGGTATCTTTAGAAGGATGTTTTAGGCTTGTGAAAGGGCAGTTTTTCTTTCCTACAATTGTCTTTTTTGCAGACTTAATTACTGTGTGTGAGTTTTTGAACAAATGACAGATACAGGTTCAATACACTGGTTTTCATTTCTTACATCTGTCAGAATCTGTATGTCATAAGTTATTTACTTTGAATGGATGTAGCAAAATTCATAGCTCTGTTTTGATCTTCCAATAAATAACACAGCTTCTATATTGAGTAGATTTTAATCTCAAATACTAATCCTCAGTAATACTAATACTAATTTTGGGGTGGGGGGGCCTATTTTGGTGTATACATTTTCTATATTGGGGAGGAGGCTGGGAGCTGAAACTGGGTTGACCTACCACTAAGTTATATTCTCAGTCCTTTTTAACTTTTTGGGGGGTGGGTAGAGACAGGGTCTCACTAAATTGCCCAGGCTGGCTTGAACTTGGGATTCTCCTGCTTCAGTGTCCAGAGTCACTATGATTTACAGATATGTACCACCTGCTGGCACACCTATTTTCTAAAAGTACTGTGATAAATCATATTTCAGAAGAATCTTTTTCCATAAAGGATTGTTAAACAGTCAGGGACCCCCATGAAGAATAGGATCCCATAAGATTAAGCAAATAAAACCTCAGAAAGGAATGAGACAAACGAATTAGCTCTCAGCCTTAAGAAGTTAGCAGACAAACCAGAAATTTAGGAGTTAACAAGTGAAACCATCTTCAAGTCCGTGGAATGGAGATAATGCATTTGGAGTTGGGAGGTTGAGAAATCTGCTGACCTTCTGAAACTATGTGGTCTGCAGAAATAACAAAATGGCCAGAGGTGGACAGATGAGGTCACTAAATCAGAACCATTGAGGCAGGACAAGAGGGTACCATGTTCTGGAAACAATAGCAGGGGCTTTACCAGAGAAGGAGCAGCTCCAGGTGGTGAGAGGCCAACGTATGCATAATCATCACTAGTTCACCTTGACCTTTTAGCACAGTCAGATTCTTACCCTAGGTGGGGACTTCAGGTGGTCATGAGACATGCCACACATGGAGCATGAGGAAGAGCACAGGCACAACTAGAGTCCCACTTCTACACATAATGACATCAAGAGACCCAGTTCCAGGGCTGGGGTTGTGGCTCAG